CAGGGCAGTTAAAGTGGCCTCAAATTGGATTATTTCTGCAGTGTGTTTCAAATGATTCTACTTGTTCAGTAGAACAAGCAGAGAAGTCAGGATATCAACCCAATTTTAATAATCAAATTGAGAAACCTCATCTATCCCAAGATGTGGAGGTCATAAGTAATAGCTGCTCTACCTGGTGGTTTGATACCATTAAAAAAGACCACCAACTTTCCAGCTATCTTTGTCATCTTTCTTACTCACCCTTTGAAGAAGGCTTTAAACAGAAATAAGATTTCAACAAATGCCAACCACCTCCCTGCAGGGCAGGAATCTCCACATTCCTGTATAAGTGGCAGACTATGTATTTGAGGTAATGGCTGCATGCAGGCATTAGAATCATAGAATCATAGAATCATAGAGTTGGAAGAGACCACAAGGGCCATCCAGTCCAACCCCCTGCCATGCAGGAATTCCCAATCAAAGCATTATCTGTTGCACCGTCCACTATATGCTACTCCTAGAGAGTGTCTCTTGTCACAATTTGTGTTACAATGCAGCAGCTGGCCAACATAGAATATAGTAACTTTTTTGTTATCTGACGAGTGGGAGTATATTTCATATTGCATTGTTTGCACCTGCAGTAAAGAAAAACAGAATGAAAGTCAATTGGTATCTGATAATAAGAGAGCAGAGAGCCAGTGTGGTGTAGTGGTTTGAATGATGAACTAGGACGTTGGAGACCAGGGTTCATATGTCTTCTCAGCCATGGAAGTCCACTGGGTGACGTTGGGCAAGGCACAAATTCTCAACCTCAGCAATGACAACCCCTTTGTACAAATATTGCCAAGAAAATCTGTGACAGGTTTACCTTAGGGTTGCCATGAGCTGGGAAGGACTTGAAGGCACACAACAACAAGAAGTAAAATGCAGAATGTACAGTGCAAACACAATGAAAAACACTAATGTAAGCCTCCAAACCACACAGCCAGTAAATCAATGCTGACCCCTAAAACACAAGCTCACCTTCTCTTCGCGCCCAATTCTTCTTCACTGAAGGGCTGAACAGACAGACAGGAAAAAGTGGTCCGATCCTGGTTGGAAACCCCACTGTCTGCATGGCCTTCTCCCAAGATGGGTCAAACACCCATGGGCAGTCCACACCAGCATCAAGCCACGTCTCTTGGTTTGTTGTTGCTGTTTGCCTCCCTACCATGCATGCACACCACTGGATGAACATACCACCTGAGACCAGGATTACCTCCTTCTTCCCGCCCAGCTGCCAACTGGATGCCCTGTGTCACCAGCTACACAATTGCACGAGCGAGACACTGCCGGTATAGTGCATCGGTGCATGCTGAGCCCCCCCCCATGTATGCCCCCTTTCCCTCCCCTTTACCCCATGCCTGTCTGTTGGAGTCTGGTTTGTGTATGTTTTAATTACATCAATTGCATTATTGATGACCTGTTATGTTTGTTGTAGTTTTGCATCATGGGATGGTGCAAATCAGTCAATGGTGCAGCTGGGCTAAATCAACAAAAAGTATGGTGAGCAATGATACTGGCAGCTGCATCTTACTGATGCCAGGGGGCATCCAGACTGCTTCTGTATGCTGCCTTCGCTTTCCTACATT